GGGACACGTTCGAGCTTCCCGCAGTGCCCCGCACAGAGCGCCGGACAGCACGAGAAGAGCCTGCGCGGTCCCCAGTCGACTGCACGGCCGCACCCTCATTGTTGCGCTGCCTCTTGCCAGCGCGCGAGCCCGTGCCAGTTCCAGACGGCAAGGCCTGGGAAGCCACCGTGCCAGTGTCCTCTTCCGTGGAGAGCACCTCGTCCGTCTCTTCGTCTTCGAGTCGTGTACGTGTTCGCTTCTTCTGCTTGTGCGTGGGATTTGCAAGGTTCGGCTTGTCTATGCTCTTTGCAAGATTGGGCTTGGGAGGCACGAAGGAAATTGCAGCGTCGCTGAGGGGCCAATCATTGCTATGGATGGCGCTCTCAAACACTGCGAGGACAGCGTCGTATATGAGCTTGATCCGTTGTTCCATAGAGCCGCTCACTGATACTAACAATAACTTGTGAAGTCCAGCAAGCAGATTCGTTAACGGGGCATTGCTAAAAACGGTGAGTGGCCTCGATTCACGGGCCATGGTCCAATGCTGTTTGGCGCTCGTAGCGTTGTCGTCGTCTCCGTAGATGAAAGTGGCAGAGCAAGCCTCCGTTTTCCGCCAGTGGTCATGCGCAGTGTGTCGGAGCACAATCCACACAAGCACCCAGATGAACGACTCCAGATCATGGTGGGTAGAGTGGATTACATCTGTTGCTTCAAGATTGAGCAGTTCGATAGCCATGAAGAAGCAGGTGCCCTAGAGCCGTAAACGATCAGCAACCGTCATGACAATGATCAAAAAAGACACTGACCGTCCTTTCCTTCAGCTCCGTAGCATTCTCGGCCATGTCTTCCACGGTAGAGTACAGAGTGGGGGGTCGTCTGGGATCGGAAGCAGTCGCAGTGCTTGATATATCGGTCGAGGGCTCGGGGGGGGAGGGGGGTTCTCCGTCATTGAGCTGTAGTCGTAGTCATGCAAGATTCCACTGCATGCAACACGCTCAGGCGGCTGGCGTCCCACAATCAGGGTGTTGCCGCTGCTCATGTCCCGGTGGAGAAGACACAGTTAGAGAGAGGATGAGGAAATGGGACCACGGATTGCGTTATAGATGGCCGTCCCAAACTCCTTCGTTTTCCTCAACAGCATTAAAGGCTGTCGGACAGTGTCAGCCACAATGCGCATGTGGCTACGCTCTCTTGCGCGCATCTTTGTGCCGCGCGCGAACGAGACAATGGAGGGTGCAGCGTGACAAGCGCCGTCTGCAGGGCGAGCGAGTCGGCACGCGGGAACTTCCGGAGGCCCATTATCCTCGTCCACGCAGCTAACATGCATGATGCAGCACTCACCGCTTTGCCCTGGCTTGACGTTTGTCTGTGGACTGGCAGGGGTGGAAATGGAATGTGACGCCCTGGCTAGCACTCTTGGGCACACCTGCACACTCTATGACTCAATGCCACATTGGGTTGCTGTGCTGAAGGAAGCGAAGTGCGGTTACAGCAAGTACTGATATGATACGTATCTTTGTGACGCACGACTCAGTTTTTTTTTCATCGCGAGATCCGCCTGAACGAACAAGCTACACGGCAGGCAGTGCCATCCCCTTGCAGACCGAGGAAACCCCTTTCAAAAACCGAAGCAAGAGGTGAACCGTGGACAAACGCCGTTCGCAACGCGTCCAACCCACGATAAGCCTGCGGGAAGTTGGGCGTTGGCCTCTTGTCCCGACGAAAAAGACCCGTTTTAGCCTATCCGCGATGGTTTGGACGTCTAATGCCCGCCGTGGCTGGTGCTGCTCGGGATTTGGGCGCTTACGGGTGCGTGCCTGACACGCATCCACCCATGTTACGAGCATTCTGCCGCCCCGGTCATATTGATTATGTAGTTTACAAAAGTATGCAGAGATTTATTTCGCACGGTGCTATGAAAGCTGCAACCAGAAGGATGCCTCGTAGGCGCACTCGACAGTCCAAATAACCGACAGTGACAAGATGCGAGCACAGTGGAGGACTTTTGAGCGCCAAGGACTGTAGGTGCGAGCTCGGGATAGGTTGCGATTTATTCGGGCACAAACGAGCGAAGCGACACGTACAAATGTCGAACACATATACGGGAGAAAGCAGTATCTGGGTAGAGTCGGTGGTCCACGATATCTCAAGAAATGTCAGCTTCCATGCACGCGGGGATTGAACTTTGAACGGCGGATCGACTTGGGGGTCCCGCTGACTCGGAGCACGGCTGCTGCCGCTCGACGGCCCTCAGAACTCGTGGGCCTCGCTGGTCGAGCTCTGCGCGATCCTCGAGTTGATGTCGATGATCGTCGTGAGCTGCACCGCGGGACGGCAACCACACGGCGAGAACAGACGGCGAGGGCGTCGTCGTGGTGGGGGTGAGACTCCGAGTCGGCCGGTCGAAGGAAAAAGGCCACGACGCACCTCGGCAGGCCGACCGAGGCTGTAGTCGTGCGACTTGAACTCCATGTCGGGAACGGACTCGTCGGGGACGCGCTGCACGGCGAGACCGTCCCGGAAGATCCGTGTGCGGCGGCGCGCGTTGAGCGTCGCGAGCAGCGAGTTCACGTACACTATCGAGATCGGGCACGTTGGCAACGAAGGAGGGTACGGCGAACGGAAACGGCACGCACGCTTGCTGTAGACGAAGTAGAAGCCCTGATAGATGAAGTCGTTTGGCTTCACCGAGTACTGCGGACTAGTCAGCACGCGCGCACGTGGACCGTGGTTATCCCGGTACTTGCAGTGACCAGCACCAAAGCAGCACAGATACTATGTTTTGACCGGTTCAGCGTGCGTATCGCAGATCAAAGCACAGAGTGAAGCACCTCGTTAGCAGGCCGGTGTTGATGCTGTATCGCATCATGAACGATATGAGCGAGTCTGTCCTATGTTCCCAGAAACTCGTCAGCTCGGACGTTCGACGGGGGATGTATCCGCAACAAGATACCTCTCGAAGCCGGTTTTCATGCGTGTGAGAAGCGCGCACTGCGACACGGTGATGATAGAGTCGGCGATGACCTCGACGGCGAATCCGGTGTAGAAGCTCCACTGCCGGCGGAGCGTTGATCAGTTGAGCCCCCAGTGAACGGCGGGAAAGATATCATCGCACAGAAAATTCGCGCACGTCGAGCAGAGTGCTGACTGAGAGGCTGCGAATACTATATGAGCGGAGCGGAGCCAACACACCGTTGTAGGTGAATATTACCCTTTTACCGTGAAGACTGTCACGAAAGCATCAGTAGTTGACCAGGAATGGAGGATGAACGAAACTCACATATTCCGTCCCCTTGGCGGTGATCATAGAGTAAGCTCACCGATCTGCCGCACGATCTCAGTCGACCTACCAAGAACGAACAGCGACAGTACATTCTAAGCGACATGTTAGCGGAGCCGCATCGGGTCCTCGTGTCCCGGCACGCACCACAAGGCAGACGGGTATGAACCAATGTCCGCCGCTCACTGTACACTATGCTATCAATGCATGATCCCGTCTGTGCCTATGAGTTCGTCACGTACGCCGCCAGATACGCATTCCAAATATTCTGCCGAAGCGTCAGTTGTCGCGCAAGACTGCATTTCTGACATGAGACCCACGCTCTGACAATGAGGTTGCTGACGAGCTTTGTTTGGGAGGTATGATCAGCACTCCGTAGATCAAGTGCGGCGGTGGATGCTTACCACCACGATGATCATAGCCTGGAAGCAGCAGTTCAGCGCCGAAGTGGGAGTCATGGAGCCTGGCGACTCACCGCGAGAGTCCTGCCATATCGAAGACCCAGGTCAACCGATCGAACGCAAGCTACGAGACGTCACTAAGATCTTACCAGCTTGGACTGAGGATTGCAGAAATGTTTCCGAAGTCGACCACGATATCCCGGTACAGGGTCATGGTCAAGAAAAGCATGTGGAACGTGTCGAGAACCCTGGAGGCATACTCCGTGTTAGCCGTTTGTCGCACAGTGGGAGGCTGCACACTATCACACCAGAGTATCAAAACCTAACCGGTAAATATTAGTTCGGGCGACCGATATATAATCGAAGCGGACAGACCGTTCCACGGAGCAAGCCCTCGTCCTTGAACTGATAGTCGAAATACATCCAAGTCTGCAGACTCGTGATACCGTAGAGCCTGCATGCGATCCACCTCATCAGCTGGATGAAGACCCGGCCGAGCGCGGGAGCTGCGACGTACACGCATGTACACGCAAAGCCCAAAAACGTCGCTCCGAGGGTGCTCGGGAGGCGCGCTCGTATCTCCCCCACCAACGTGGTGTCCATCGGGCCTTGTTGGATTCTGGTTATTCAAGCGAGGGGCGGGCCAAGTCGCAAGGGGGAACGACACACGCCAGGTATGCCGAGATGTCAAGCTGTCCAGAGTGCGACCGAGGACGGGGAGGAGGGGCGTTTTGTATGTCGAGCACCGGCGCTGCGGTGATCACAACAAACTCTCTCTGCGGTTCGTGCCAGCGCGGGTGGCCGTATTACTCCCATTGGCGAGCGGCACGATGGGGCGAGGGAGAAGTAGAGTTGTTCGTGACGGCGTCTCGCCGCCTGTCTGTCATTGGGGGCGTCGCTGTGGAGATGTAGAAGGGTTGCTGTTAGTCGCTCGTATGTGAGTTGACTCGGAAGTGCCAGACTCGGTTCGCGAAGAGGCTGCTGCGGTCGCGGGCGAGGAGCGATAAGGCCCGACGACGGAAGATGGATTCGGCGAAGGCGGATTGAATCTGGAGCAGCCACCGCCTCTGTGAGAACCGCTGCCACGCTAAAGTTGTTTGTGGTGGGCGAAGGCGAGGAACAGGATCCGCGCGGCTGGCGATCTGTCAAAATACACTTTGGGCGCAGGCTGAGGACGGCAGCCCCGGGCGTGACACAACTGCCAGCGTCTGTCGGCAGAGTACAGAGGATAAGTCCAACAAGTGCGTACGCTATAACAAATGCTTTTTGTAAGCCTGGTAAGTAAGTAATTGAAACTGCGGACTGATTGACTTGCCTTGGCGCCGCTTTGACAAAAGAAGTGCCAGGAGCGTGGATTGAACACGCGACCTCCAGAAGACAGTGTACTCTTCAGTCTGTTGCTCTCCCAGCTGAGCTATCCCGGCGGTGAAGACAACGCCAAACTGTGTATTCACCCTTTATGGCATCTCTGGGCACGTGCCGGCGTCTCACAACCTACGCGCGACGCGTCCCAGGCGCGTCTCTCTTCCCGCCACTCTCGCACTACCAAACCACGCTCCGTCGCAATAACTTCTCGGAGACGCGAACTCCTGGACAAAATAGGCATGCCACCACGATCTACGCGCTCTCAAAGGCAGTCACACCCGTCCCAGTCTCAGCCCCCGCGGGGGACACAAAGCCGCCGCGCGCGCAGATCCCGTGCGGACGACGACGAAGATGAGGATATGGAAAACGAACGCGAGGGAGGGGAGCAGCAGGAGATAGCCGTGGAGAAGGCCCAGCAGGTACGTGGCTCAACACACTCAAACAGCGCGGTCGTAAACTTCCATGCTGTGGCACAGGATCTGGAACGGAAGGCAAGGGATCTCGTTCGCCTTGCGTTGTTCCACGAGCAGCGGCGCACACCACTCAAGCGAGACGAGATATCCAAGAAGGGTGCGCAATGTCAGCGCCATGTCGGCACACCGTGGATCTGACCTCCTCCAGTTCTTGGCTCTAGCTCGCGCTCGTTCAATGTGGTCTTCGCTGCTGCGAATGCTATCTTGCAGAAGACATTCGGAATGGAGCTCGTGGAGTTGCATTCGACGACAGCAGACAAGGAGATCAGCGAAAAGGATGCCGAAATGCTCAAGACTGCCGGCGTCAAGAAGAAGGGTGCGTCCCTCCGCCATCGGCCCTGATCACCTACTCACCAATAAATACAGCGACGTCCACCGGGACTAAAAACTACATCTTACGATCTCAGTTGGACCCGGCTATCATCGAGAAAGCGCTCTCTCCAGACGCTGAGATACGCGAGCTGGAGCAGTCCGAGCATCCAGACGCGAACGAAGAGTTTGCAGAGGACGACAACCCAATCGGCACTCGGTCCACCGGAAGCATCTTCGCATGGCATAATGCGGACCAGCTCCCCTCCGTCGGTATCCTCTACGTTATTCTCGCCCTCATCCTTGTAGAAGGAAGGGTCATCAACGACAGTGAGCAGCGCTTGCACTACGAATACAGTGGGCCATCTACGAACTCACGGATCTACAGACGACTTGCGCAATATCCTCAAACGACTGCAGCTTCCCCCAAACGGCCCTGTGCCGCTCAGCAGCAAGTCGAGCACCCAAAGCCTCACCATCGACGCCTACCTCTCCCAGCTCACGCGCCAGGGCTACCTCGAGAAGCACCGCGTCGGCAACACGCGCGCGGGGGGCACCAAGCGCGGGCGGCCGTCGCAACACGCCAACGCGGCGAACGACGACGGCACGCTCGCCGCGTACGAGTGGCACTGGGGCCCGCGCGCGATGGCGGAGGTCGGCGAGCGCGCCGTCGCTGAGTTTGTCGCCGAGTTCATGGCGGTGCGCCTCGGCGAGGAGGGCGTGGACGAGGATGCGGTGGGCGCACCGGACGACGAGGGCACGCGGAAGCGCGTGCAGGGCATCTTCAAGGGCATCGAGCGGGCGGCGTCTGGGGCGCCGCTGGCGGATGTGCGGTGATCCCGTCGACCGCATCTTCGTCGCTCGCCGTCTCCGACTCGTGCTGAATCGGCTGTTGTACGCTATAATTTCCTGATTACTTAGGTGGCGGGTTGCTTCGCGCATCATGACGAGCTTTAATTCTGGACCTGTGCATCCTTCTTGCGCCGATCATCTTTTTATCCTCGGAGTCGCGGGGGTCCGCCTGTGCCTTGTTCACCCACGCTCGACAAGTACTGTCATCATCAATGATACAATGACGAGCGAGTATCACACTCACCGACTCTCTGACAGATCATGATGCGTAATTTCTCGATTTGCGCGGGCAAATGCTGTCCCACTCAGGCACGTCTCGACCATCTTGGTGAACGTCCCGACCCCGAGGGGGCTTAGAAAGTGTTCCCCAGGCACGGTGCGCTGCATTCCTCCATGCAGGCCAATCATACGACTGACGTGCGCGTTCGTAGGGTGGACCTTCCACACCTGGCGAACTCACGAACTCCGCACTGGGTCTCCGCGCAGTGGTATGGCTTGCGAGGTTCCGGAAGAGAGGCATAGACGGTTGGACGAAGGAGAGGAGCTCGAGTCGCCGATCTTCTTCTCGGACGACGACACCCTGTGTTCTGAGGTGTTCGCCCTCAGAAGGAGCGGCGAGACAACTACGGGACGTCGCGCAACCTTTCAGCATCGTTTTGATCCTCGGTGATGCCCTTCAAGTGGGAGGGTCTGTTCAGCATGAGGAGGGAGGATTCTCCGACTTGGTATTGCTTACTTCGCTCGTCATACAAAATAGGCAAGCCTTGCTAATGGGATTGGAATGGTTAGAGTAGTGTGGGTGTATACCACTGTTGCTGTATGCCAGCAGCGTGGAATCCGGATGACGGTGGAAGGGTCCTGAATAACGTACACTGAGGCTAGTATCGTCGAATTCAATGGGCTTGAGGTGATTGTGCTTGAGTGGCTGTGCTGCCTTACTTGAAGAGTTCAAGGTCGACTATCAATCCGACGTCACAGGGTTAAGGTTGGTAGTGATCATGAATTGAAGATCACTAGTTTGGGGACAGCGGCGTTTGTCTGCCATGTTCGAACATTGTACGCGCCGGCGACAGCAGGTCCTCCAGCTACCTGACCGCCTCTAGAGTCATAGATTTCGGTACCCAGCTGAACGGGTGAGCTTTATGAGACCATTTAGGCCGAGCTGCATTGTGCGACGGCCCGGGTTTGAATTAAAGACTGCCACCCTAGCTTGCACGCGCCGGAAGCAGTCGCCGTGGCTCCACCAACAACGAGGCTTGGACATTCGCCCCGCGAGACCCGATTTTGCTCACAAAGAGAGCCTTGGTACGCTGTCCATGTATATCACCAAGTACGTCCGGCTGACAATGGCGTGTTGAGTCCAGCCAGGGCGTCATATTTCATTTCCACCATCGCCAGTCCACAGACAAACGTCAAGCCAGGGCAAAGCGGTGAGTGCTGCATCATGCATGTTAGCTGTGTGGTCGAGGATACAGCGGTTGGCAAAATCTTTGGACAGGCGCCCCGCGAGACACGCCCGCACAAATCAATCCAAAAAATCCAAACAATTCAGAAAACTATTTGAGGCCCTCTTCGTGCATCTTGACTGCACCGTAGGCGTGCATGACACAAGTAGGCTTCATACGAGATCACTTGTATCAAGGAAAATGTGTGTATACATATGTACAATGTGTTCCAAGGCCTGCGCCCACCACGTAGTAACGGTAGTCCTATACGACCCTATGTACTCCTCTGACCAACATGGTCAAACACCGTATCAGCGCTGACCTTCTGACATGAGTACAAGCACCACACAGAGCTCTGGGATGGGTACCAGAGAATGTTTTTGACAGAGTTGTCAGCCTGAAAAGAGTACCAAGCATCAGGATGAGGCCAACACCAGCTAGTACTAGTTGTTACGATTGGCTGGTTACTGGTAGCGGACTCACTCTGACTCACGTAGGCTCCGGAGGCATGGTGACTCATGCTGACTCGCTCTGACTCGTTCTTGACTAGTAGTGACTCATATGAACTCATAGTGACTCAGACCCATGGTGAGTCATACTGGATATGACTCCACCCCACATGTATATAAGACTAGGGGGCTCAGGGTAGAGCCCCAGCTTCAATCTCCTGTTTCACCCCCTGAACTCCTCGTCTGAACCTCTCCCCTTCGCCCAACCTGGCTTCCAGTTCTAACGGTGCGCTCAATAGCCACTAACAGAGAACTGAAGCATAACACTAGATTGAAGCTCAAGATTCCTCACCTAGCAGCAGTGCAAGGAACACCTCTCTGCATCGAGTAACCAGAAGGCTTCCTGCCTTGCTCAACAGAATCAGGAATCCAGTCCAGAATCATTTCCCCATCCTTGAAGACAGTTCTTCCGAAGGAGAACTGCCTGAATCACCTACCCAACCTTCGCGGATTCCTGGACACCGTACCCCTGAAGAAGAACACGAGTTCTGGAACCCACTTCAGGTTCAGAACAGCTCTGACGAACACACCGACAATGAACAATCAGTATCAGGCGGAGGTTCGAACGAAACCATACCTGACCCCCCCACTCCGGAACAAGTCCACCCAGTAGAACGATTCTACCTCCAGCTCCTCCAAGGACATAACTTTGCGCGCGCACTGCACGAAGCTAGTCGGTACACTGAGGCAATTCCACCACTTGCTCTTCGGCACTTGAATGACACCACCTGGCACCTGGCACAGGCCCTCCGTGTACTTCAAAACGACCCTCCTTACCCTCTGGTGGACGACCCAAACTGTCCTCTTACCTTTGAAGAGTGGTTGGAACACACCTCTGAAGGCCTTTGACAGCTCATATCAGTCACCAGCCTCGGATCTCCAGACATTCACATCATTGCCTTAAGATTCCACAACCTCATTGCCGCCCGACACCTGGTCAACGAGTGGACTACGTACATTCCCCCTCACTACCACGCCCACGGCAATTAGGAGCAGTGCATGGGAGACAATCTCGACTGTTACAACCGGCCCCACTACTACAACGCAACCACTTGAAAGGACAACCACATCAACTACTCAGAAGTATTTGTGATCTGCAAGTACCAACCGTGCCCAAATCGACTCAAGACCAGAGCTAAGAAAGCCGAAGGCAACCATTTCGTTCCAACTCCCAAAGACCCCGTCACTACCGGCTCAGGAGAAACCTTTGTCAAAACAAGGTCACCCGTTACACCTCTAGGACTTGGGCTTCAAATCCCATTAGCCAGCAAAGGAAAGGAGCGGGCTCGAACGCCACCTTCTAAGATCCCAGAACCAGAATCGTCAGACGACGAAACAGTACTGGCTACTGTACCAACGAGTAACCGCGAATCCTCCCCTATTTCAACAATCATCCCAGCTCGACAACTACCAAGAGACCCAGAACCAGGACAGCGAGCCATGTCCACAACCACTACACGACCGACCACCG